CTCCTGAAGAAGAATAGTCAACTATTCGAAAGCGTTCGAGTTTTGGGTCTTATTTTAAGTCTATTAAAGATTCAATGCATATTATTTGGTCATCTTAATATTATGATAAAAAACTCGATATAAAAGAAGAAAGGATTCCCAAATAAACTTTCTGAACACATTCTATATACTATTTCACTGTTTTTTGGTGAAAAGTACTTATGCCCTACCACAGTTCTCACCTTTTCCATTTCCATATATTCTTCTGTAAACTTGGTACCCTCCGCACCACCAATCTTTTCACTCATGTACTAAAAGAAGTAATCAATAAAATGTAAAATACAGACTACAAATGACAGATAAAATTATACACATATAAAATTACTAAGCAATATGTATTCTAAAGATTTTGCATAACTAACACTTACAACCTGTAATGTATCATTTGAAGTATTAATTGTACACATCTGTACCTAACTTTCTTTTTAAACACACACAAATATATGTCAATATTCATGGGCAAATAATCAACAAAAAGTCAAAATATTTCAATAAAAGTATGCTAATATATATATACACAGTATTATAAATAATCATTTTTAGTATGGTATTTCTAGAATCAGTTTTAAGAAAACTTGTGGAAAAAATTACAGCAATACTGTAGTAGACTAAAAGTAACAGCCCACCTGATATTTTTATTGATCAGAACATAAATGTTTTATTATCTATTAACTGATACTGCAAGAATTATTTGCTAATGCAGCTGTACAATACAGCAAACTGTACTAGCAAAAATAGTGAATAAAAGATTTACTGCATCCAGTAATTTCACTCATGTTTAGTATACTTTTTCTTTTTTCTTTTTTTAGTTTACAAAATCAGATTTTATAAAAAATGTACGAGTGAATGAATTAAAATGTATATTTACCACCTTCTGTTAATTATATGACGTTATGATTATAAGTTGATTATTTATCAGATGTAAAATAAACATTTTTGTCAACATGTATTAGTTACCTGCTTTATTCTTTATACAAGACGTTGGTAAATCTAAATAAATTTGAACTAAAATTATGATGATATCTTAAGATTCAAGCTAGTTTACAACTGCTAAGTATCTATTTTTGATACAATGAAAGGAAAATAGCTGCTGTAATTAAGATATACCTGTTATGCAATCAGACAAAATTACTTTGTTGGATATAAATATAAAGGACAGTTTGTATGTTACTAACATTTTTGAAGAAATGTGAACTTGTAGGGAAAAAACTGCTACATGGTACTGGATAAAACACTCCTGAAAAGTCATCAATATTTAAAAAGAAAAAAGTTACAGGCATCTTAATTATAATTGTAAAGAAAATCTATTGGAAATTTTACATTCTATTAATCATAATCTTAATTTATACCATGATATATTTAAATAAAAAAAAGAACATTTAAAACTTCATTGGGAAGATAAAAAATACACAAAAAAGATAAAAATTAAACACTTGGAGAGATTACATATTAAAACAACTATACTGACTGTTATATAATATGCAAAGACTATACATCTTACTTTCCTATAATATATTGTTACAACAGCGATAGTCACGTGACTCTGGTAACACGTCATGATATTCTAGAAGGATCGGGGAACATCACAAATAATCCAGTATGTGCTAGGCGCCCTCCATTCCTGTATACAAGTGCGCTGGATAACGTGAGACGAAT